CCAGTCAAGACACACAGACTCGCGCGCGCGCAGGGAGCAGGAAGTCAACCTCTCCACAAGTCCACGGACAACCATGGAGTACGTGTAGCAGTCTAACTGCGGAGAAAAACACGTTCCCGCCGTCCGGACTTCCACCAAGGGACTCTCGCATCCGATAAGTTCCCTTTTTGACTTGCTCCCATTTCACATTGTATTTATTTTTATACGTGTCTAAATATCTCTATTAGTGCACATACGCCTTCTGAATTGCATTATGCTCATCATCAGCTGAGCACTAATACCCCCATTCACAGACGGGCAGCTTATTAAGAGTTGAACTATAAGATGAGTATAGAAAGTCTCAACACCAGAACATTGGTGAAATTTACCACCCCAATGAGATGGTCTGCAGTGACCTCCAACCGGAACACAGTTTAGCCAAAAAAACATGCGAACATCATCATCGCAACAGCTGTAGCACCCTTTCGGTGCCTAGCTGCCGTGCCATATAAAGGAAGCACGAGGGCTGGAGTACTGCCAGGTTGCCCAAGCCTAAACAGGGGAAATCGAAAGGCAAAAGTCAGATTCGAACCACGGACCTTACGGTCCGTAAATTCGCGCTCTAACCACTGAGCTATCTTGCCACATACATGCAAACTATGAAGAGTAAACAGCATTCGATAAAAAACTCGGATGTCTCATTAAACGTCACCACATAAACCCGTCAAATCTTGAACTATTTATGAGTGTCTCAGTTAGGATCATCTCGTACGCTGAATATCACACCGCTTGTTTCAACATGTTGATTCATGTTCATGAAATCGCCTAAAAAGCAGAAGCCGCATATGTCTGTTGCATCCGACTATAAAATATGATGCCTACAATAACTGTGTACAAGTCTGTCGTGGCATCCTTCCAAGTAGATTGCCATCCACCGATTATATATCCAACTAAGGCATCTAAGACTGATCCGAGGAAGCTGAGTACCCCATACACTTCATGGACACATGCCACAAGCTCTGAATCGTACCTCCCAAGCGAAATTTGCTGGAAGGTTACCTGCATTTACAGAGTTAGTAATCTCAAATGTTGCGTTTTATCATCGTCTGGCCTGGTGTGCTGAACATTCCTGTATTAAGTGAACGCGATCTTACGCCATAGACCAAACGCAACACATCGCATCCTTCTGGCCCGAACACATCTCGAGAATGGCAACCATGTTAATGTGCCGTTGCCACGACCTCCATCTGCACTTGTTGCCCGACAGTTGGCAAAGCCACCAAGGCCTGAATCGATGCCTTAAAAGTACAGGCCCTCGACTGGTGAGTTTAACAAAGAATGCAGGCAATCAAACTCCGTCTTTGGTTTGATCGTGGTACGAAAACTTAGCTACCGACTGGTTGCGGGAAGAGACCCATCGCTGAATTCCCCTAATACCGTTTGTCACTACAGGGACACTACTATAACGTGGGGACGGTCGATGCTCACTAGTTAACATTGTCTTTGAATTTAACCAACGATAGTTACATTATTTCAAAACAACTTGAATTTCTCTGCCCAAAAATACACAAAACTGAAGCATTATGGATGGTTGAACGCTGCAATTCTACAGAGAGAATCAACAACAGCCAGTTGCACCAACACCCCCTTTTTCAGTGCACTCCTGAGCATGCAGAACGCAACGTATGACCCTAGTTATGTGGTTCTGACCAAGTGCTTACTCAGAGATTCGGAGCCAAATCACCAGAGAATTTGGAAAATTCACACCACAAAGACTGGTGAACATAATCTCTATGATGCAAGCATGTAGAGGAAAATAATTCATCCACTCACGACTCATTTCATCTTCACCTCAAGGTGAAAGCGTTTTTTGTTGTTAGACTGGTCGTAATTTGCATGAGACTCATTTTAAGATGATGAAACCATGATGACCTCGCTACACGACCACCTTGAGAACTACTGAGCTTGGTGCCACATTCGTCAGTACCGTCACCACTGCAACCCTCTAGGGTAGTTATTCACTAATAAATGTATGACGATGTAAGTTTTCATTACTGTACTCATAAAAACTGGAATAACGAGCTTCTACTTCAACTCACACGTCCCCTGTGGTATCTGTCCGACAAGTATAGCTGAAGCCAACGCTCAACTTGACATATCAACCAATTCGATGCCGTGTGCGTTAAATCAAAAAAGACGAATTGTCCGCAGATACGGCCAACCCAAAGTACAAGGGACTTCCACTGGTCCTTCAGAAAATGCACACAGCGACCAACTGAAAGCCTGCCGTTTAGACCATCCCATCATGAAGTAAGTCCCCTTCTTCCGATAGAACGAGACATCTGAGTCGCCTAGTTACACTTTCAACATCGGTTCACCTTAATAGTAATCCTGTTAAGTACATCACATGTATTCTCATGTTCTCGTATCCCCGTTGCACTCACTACGTACAACCGTAAAGGACTGCGTTGTTTGGGTTACGCTATAACCGTCTACTTGTATGCATTCTATGTCCATCTGCTGCATATTCTTGTGCTTGGATGATGGGTCTTAACTCCACCATACATTACTTTCGAACGTCGGAACCGGTATTGACAATACTGTGGCTCAATTACGTCAAATCCGCCAGAAATAAACTCCCCGAAAGTTTTTTGACCATATCATTAAAAAGTCCGTAAACTCGGTCAGATCTGCAGTAATCTGGCGATCTTGTAATAAAATGCTGAGAGAGGGACTAAACAGACGAACTAAAACTGTTTCAGTTGTCCACCGTACACCAGTAAACCGCAAGTGGACATAGGGAATAGTGCTGGCTAAGGTGCGACATCCACAAACAGCCGAAGCTGTTACAAACCAAAGATTTGACAACCCCCCTTGTTGTACCCAAAGGTAGATATAGGCGTGCGAAAATCCATGCATGGATGGTATTAGCACATGGCACCACCTGTTTCAAAATAAGCTATCGCTAAAAACGAGATCAGCTGCCACTCACTAGCTGAGGGGCCGTGGGAGCCGAGTTATTACGAATCCTGCATCACACCTTAGGTTTGCTAGTCACTGAGACTGACAAGTACTGCTACCCTACCCTACAAGTAACTTTGGCTCGAACAGTTGATCACTATGGTGCACGCAACTAATGGGAATCACCAGACAAGGACCCGGTTGTCATTCCACTGTAATAAAACGGGGTGAAGTTTAGTCGGATGAAAGACCTAACGAACCCCGTTCATTTGCTTACTAAACCCATGTACTTGTGATCTCCACGTATTTTACTTATCCGTACCCACCATTTAGCTTACCGCAAAAACATCTCGTCCGATACTGGTATACGAGCATATGTGAATGTGAACAGCTGATCTATTTACCCATGCGTGTTCGTATACTGAGCCTGTCCGTTGTGCTTTACGTGTAACCGCGCCGCCAATAAGAATTACGAGACTGGTTACGGAAGGAACGACCCTAACCCACACCATAGAACCAACATTCCGCCCGCTGATGTCTGGTCTGTGGACCATGACACTTGGAGCCACGAGCACGGACATTTGTTGTGTTGTGTAATATCACTCACTTCTGTATAAACAATACTGCAGGCTTTTGAACCTAATTCTTCCTTTTGATGTTTGCGGTCATGAAGCCTAGGAGTGAGTCAAATTTCCGTGTCGGGAACTCCAGCAATGAAACCGCCGTTCTATTTCTTTGGATGATTTGCTCGAATTCCAATTAAGCTGGTTATGACGCGTTGGTCTTCGTCAATGAACATACCAGTAGCAAAGGTAGGCTATTTGAAACAGTACCAGTAAGCAGCTCCTGACAAGATTCCCCTGAAGAAAGTTTATTTCTGCGAGCAGAGGTAGGCTGTATCTGCCAGTCAGCCATATCCTCAGTTGCAGACTTCACTGAAACGAAGAACAGTTCCCTGATAAGCCCCCATGTTAGGTCTGTCCTGCGAATACATACGGAGTGGTTGTTGGTCAGTTCACTAAGCACGGTAATTGGGCAGCGGACATTTAGTAATCAATCGGAGTGGAATCCTCAGTGCGGGTTTGAGTGGATGAATTCCGCGACATTGCTGTATGCAGACTGTGCAATGCAGACAGGATGACGCTGGGAGCGAGAACAGCCCCCTAATGAGTCTACTGGACAACAGCTGCCAGAAACAGAGAGGGACTCGCGTTAAAGCGGTGAGCTGTCACCAGAACACACGATGGCAACTCTATCACAACCTGGATTCATCCACACAATTTCAAGTCGGAACAAACAACAAAAATCATTGGATGGGAAATGTCCCCCTCCCCCTTATTGGTTTCACAGAAGCGTGTCTCTGTCCCATGTCTGGATTATTCGAATTCCTTACTCTAATGAGTATTTCACTGATAAGCCCTTAAGTGATTCATAAAGTGCGCGTGTCAACCAGTGAGAGACTGTCGCCTACATAACCCGATTAGGACGATTACGTTGGAAAATAAGTCTTGCACAAATATGAAAAGTACAATTCTTCGATGTGTAAACCTGTTCAGAGCGTCGTTGGACTTCGCAGCATGGGGGTGGTAATTGTGTAAGGAAGCCGGTCTGTTCCGCCACAGTGGATCGAGGGAATGACTGAGAACGTTGCCGCTGAAAAACTGAACTACCCGTATTTTCTCTCACAACAGTCCAGTAGCTACAATTTTATACGTTGGTCTCCAGCTACCCGCCAGGCCCATAAGTATCGGGATCCTGGTTATCAGACAAAAGTGACGAAAAGAAGCGGAAGCAAGTCATGCGATAAACAAACTAGCACCTTTGTGCGAAGAGATCACGTGAAACAGACGGTGGGTCCATATGACTACCGCGTGCTTTGACAAAAACCAAGCTAGATAATCCGTACCGTACCGAACAAAGAAAATACTACCAGTTGACAAAAAATATATCTCGCTATTGCCGCACGTTTTACTAGAAAAATGCAGTTGTGCGCCACAAAAACATGTATGTACGACTGAAAATCGACACAACCGGTCTATGGGGGAAAATACGGTTGCAACATGATCAAAATATGTGCACACGGTCCAGAACAGAGGCGAAGTCACAAACGACGACGAGATGCTGATGAAAAACAGGTAGTGGATGGCTTCATCAAACAGACAAGTCCAACAACTACAAAACAAATAGAAACAAATGACGTTGGCGCAAAACGTGGAGAGGAAAGTGGTCACAATCACATCCACGATAAGTTTAAACTTGATTTTTCCAATGAACACATTGCAGGGAAAGCAACACTGAGTTGAGCGAGATTGCGTACGCTCCTTTCCAAGTAGGACAAGCCAGTGGTCATTTGATCAAGAATCTGCCCTGCGAACAAGAGTCTTCACCGCATTACTTCTTAGTTCGCTTTATGATGCAAAACATACCCAAACTTGATATTGGCTCTCAAGTACGCATTCGAGACACTTCAAGTGTTTTTTCTCGTTTCGACGAAAAACAAATTTGTGGAAGCGACATCAGTGAAAGCACATTTCTGTTGGTCCACATACTAAACACTAAAGATGGCAATTACGTTAGGCTAAGCCACTTTCAACGGGACGGAAATAGTCAAAACACATCGGGCCTAGTTAACTACGACTGCAACTAAATTATGTTTCCTAAGGCTACAGTAGTCCAACTGGTATGCCGACAGTCGCACCAGTTCGTCAATCAGCTCGAAAAATCAAACCTTATCGAGCTATGACAGTAGGATAATCAATAGTCTGTCAATTGAAGCAGAATATAAGGTTGATGGAAACTCAGGGTTGGTGCCCACCTGATGAACATCAAGGACGAAACCAGCCATGGACTAGGTTTCCAGCAACCTTATAAAGAGTGCTTCATCGTGATCTGTCAGTTCAACGCTAGCTGAGTGGATTGATCAGACGAACAATGCTACCTGCTACGACGGCGAGTCATGAACTGGTAATAGTGGCAAGAACATGATCTCCAGCTGTCCACCTGTCTATAAAACCTTTTGCAGCGCTTCATGGAACTTGGAATCATCAGAGTAGGAGGAGCACTGCGAAGACACCAACTAGTGATCTGGAGTGTGCTCAGCGATTAATTCAGCCTGCGATGTAGTGGAATGACTTTTGAAGTGACTTTTGCAGTTACCATCTACGCGGCACTCGTTGGTCTCTGCTCGCAACAACCAAAAGGAACGCTCACCGGTCTCTTCTCCCACTTTAGACATCAAAGCTTCCAGGTTCGGATCTGACCCTACCAATTTTCTGAAATCCTACACCGGAACTCATATCTTCCGACTACCACATCCACCAGTGTTATACCGTCTTGGAGATTTCGCGCGTACTCGCCATCCCAAGAACGGATCACTTCTTAATCGAGCAGCTACCATCGCGCTCATTGTGGCCAAGCGGCTCAACGTTCTATGGGTGATCCATTGGTGCACAATTCTGACATCTGGTCATCTGTCGTAGATTCCGCTGTCAGATTAAGATGGTTTGCCAGGACATTCTCAAAGCCACTGATCGAGTTGACCTTCTCATCCATTTACAGCCTGTATCCCCTTTGGTCAAACTGGATTGAAAAATGGGTAACAAATGAGTAACAAATGAGTCTGCACGAGTTCGTTAAGATGGCGCTATTTCTCAGGCTACTTCTGAAGGTTATCGGTCTGTCTCCCTTATTCTGTACTGTTCACAAGTGACCTAATTATGTCCGTCTATTCATTAACCAGCAGACGATGTTACCTTCCTTACTAATCAACGATCCAGCCGAGCGTTATCCTACCTATTCTACTCTGACCAATAAAATTCAGTCCATTCTTTAGCTTGTCAGTGCTACCACAAGTGTCCTTTCAGACAAATATCTTCTTTTCTTCCTCCCAGGTAAGTTGCTGAGAACGGAAACAAACGGATCCGATTATTGAACACTGAAATCGTTTATAGCCGTGACCGTGAGGTTCCTACACCGGCCAACGGGGTAGAAAAACACACCTGACGATATAAGAAATTCTAAAATACATACCCGGATCACAGGTGAATAGTCTGCAATGTAGATCTTTTGCAACTCCCTGCCCTCAATGGCGTTAACCTTGGCGTCGTGTAACAGTTCACGCCCGTCCACATCAACCCCGAGCGTCCACACGAACAAACGGTAGTCATTACCACCAGAAA